AAATTTTAATAGCAAAGCACCTGTGCGTATACGTAATCTACGGACATACATGTTTGTATAAGTAGTACGCACGCATTAGAGATGGGCGCGTGAGTGATTTTGGCACCGGTTTACGCACCCCCACGAAGCCTCCTTTACGCACATTATATTTTTTTAATTGAAACTTTTTTAATGTAAATTTTTAAAATTACATTAGTTCATGGTTTTGTTCAAAAATAATATTTTTTCGAGGTTTTCCCAGGCAGTCGAGTATTTCTTTATTCTTGAGCTCGGCCTGCTACAGAAAAAACTTGGAAAATCTTTAGCCTGCAGCTAGCTCTGAGTTTTTCAAATAAATCTGTATTTCCGCATTTATGTCTTGATTTTTGATTAACCCTTGTGTCCCCAACTAGATACCCGGGTATCCATCGACATATATTGTATTAAATAACTTTTTTTCTTGCAGCAAATTTTTAAAATGCTCTCGGATACCTGCGACTTGACTTATTTTACTTGGAGAAATTTATTTAAAATATTTTATATTTATTTTCAACCCAGAAAATTTTTAATTCGAAGAAATGTGCACGAATAGTCCAAGGGGGGGTACCCGAGTACCCACACACAAAATAGGCGGCAAGATTTATAAATATCTTAGGTATTGTATTAGTGTTTATTTATCAAATTTAACTAATATAAACCGTATTTTATTGTTACTTTTCAGGCAATAAGAAATATAGATTATGAAAAGCTCTACATTTGCAAACGTGCAAGTAAAACTTTAGTCTGTTATTTATATATATTCGTAAAGTTATCAGAAATATGATGCAGTATCAAAAATGTTTACTTGCACAAGGCTGTTAAAAATACGTTGAATTATTTATATAACATTAAGTTATTAAAAAGCGAAAGCAGAACTCGCATACCTTCAGCTCCGTAAGTAATGTTTTTTTTAAACTATACCTTTTATTCAGACTGAGCCTTTCATACAAGTTAAAAATGACACAAGGCAACAGCGGTTTGGACTAGTTCTGTATCGGGCGCTTATATTCATTGGCCTCTATCTTCAGTTCTCATAAAAAATTGTAGTGGTTTTGAAGCCATGTCCGAACTAACGTTCAACTCTGCAGATAGAAATTATTTTTGATACAAGCCTTCTTGCATAAATACATAGAAAAAATTTTACGAAAATGTATTGAAATTATCCCTTTAACTTTATTAGTTTTAGATAAAAAGCTATTTAATTGATATTTTCAATACCTGCTCATCGTTGAGCATACATAATTTTTATTTTGTTAATTCTAAAAACTTCTAATTTATTTCCTATACACTTACTCCATTATCCATTACTTTTATTCTATATTCCAATGAATTATTTTAATAATTTTTTACTTTTTTTGATTTTGGCGTGTCGAAACATGCTTTTTTGTAATTACATATTTACTTGTATATATGACTTAGGTTAGTGCCATGCGAACAAGTTTTGTGTTTGGGAAACAAATTGCGAGTTTGCGACGCACATACTCTTACTAAGACTTCCCGAAAATGCTGCTCGATGAACAAGAGTCTGACGTGTTTTTTATTTTGTTGTGTTGGTTATTGGAAAGTAAAACAATTAGCGTGACAGTGTTTTTTCATGTGTTTTAATGAGCTCCCTACAAATTAATGGTTGTTACAAATGTAGACTTCTGGACGTCTATGCAAATTTTCAATACCCAGAAAAAGTTGATTAATAAAACATTTATACTTATTAATTTAAGCGGCGTATTTTGTATGTATGAATGTATACATATATAGTAGATATACTTATAATAAAAATATGTGTTCTTCAGCCTGGCGTAATAATATTTATTTGATTTATGAATTTAGCGCTAATTTAACTTTATTAATATAATTAATGTAGTCAATTTTGCAGATAGCAGCATGCATTAAGAAAAAAATTCCAGACTTACTGAAGTTGTGCAAACAGGTTCCAAAATATGACCAGAATAAGATATTCCAAACTTTCCATCGAACATATATAATTTAAATTAGCGAAATATTAAAAAATGTTGTCCAACTCAACGCGAAGACCTTTGCCTTCGTCTAACGAACTACATGAAGTGAAAAGCTAAGAAATACTACATTGTAGAGGATGGAGTTCTCCATGTGACTGCCGTGTTTTCCTATAAGTTTAATCAAACTCGTGGATACTCATACATGACGTATGAGTAACATTATTGTGCGCTCATATTTCATAAAAATAAATAAATTATTTTATCAATCAATTAAGCGAAAGTTGGACAAGATTTCGTAGTTTTCCATTAATCTAAATAATATCCTCGCCATGCTCAAGGTGCACACTTTGAGCTGGTCTAGAATGTCCTTTATCAGATTTAATAAAAGTAGCGAAGTGAACGATACGAATTTCTTGTAAATGCGCGCTGAACTTTTATTTGCGAACTTTCATGGAATTTTGAAATAATTTTTTTCATATTAATGTGTCGCTTACGAGCATTAGTTTGCGGGTGCTCAGTAGCTCGCGACCTGTATATTAGGCGACCCCAAACAAAAAGATGGGCAGAAGAATACTCTGTATCGAACTACGCGATTTTCGGTTGAAATTGGGAAAGTGTTAATTGAAATTGAAAATAGTCAATTGTAAATAAGAAAGCTTCAATTGAAAGCTATAAAAGCCAATTGTAAATGAAATTAGGCAATTGTAAATAAATATATTTGTGAAATCCAAAGGCACAATGACCATGTAGATAAGGCTCTCCAACTTTAAGCTACTGTGGTGTAGTGGTTAGCATTGCGCACTTCCACTCAGCAGGGCCTTTGATCAATCCCTGTTCAAAGCAACGTCGCAAAAAATATAGAATAAAGGTTTTTTTCTTAACAGCGGTTGCCCCTCGGTAGGCAATGGCAAACCTCCGGGTGTATTTCTGTTGGCAGAGAAAAACTCTCAGCTTTTGTCATCCTTTGCTCTTCTTTAGGACTCGGAAATTCTTTCGGCGGACAATCCAGTGCATTACGTGGAAAATTTTCTTCAGTTACGATCGAAACACGAAACCCGATGCATGAATACAAATGCAAAGCTCCGTAACTAACAGTTTGATTCGATGAAATGCATTATAACACCGTGCGACAAGAACCAAAAATTTTTAAAACACACGAAAAAGTCAATATATTTACAGAACTAGGAGCCAAATGTTGCATAACTGCGTTTTCAATTTTTCTCTCAGACGTCACTAATTTCTCCGTTTTTCGAAGTTAGGTATCCTGCGAAATCGAGATATGGGGCTTCGAAGTTCGGAATAGGATCTTTTGTAAAAAAATATTTTTTATTATTATATGTAAATAACTAAAAATGCAGTCGTAGACTTCCTTTTGCTCTTATTTAAATGGTTTATAACTTTTTTTGCAATTACAGGTGATATAAGGGGGCAAAGGTAGGGTCTTCGAAAAATTAAAAACCTTATATTTCAAACAATTTTGAACTGATTTTGAAAAACTTTGTATCGTTATAAGTGTGATTAGAACCTTAGAGAACCCTTTTTTCTCTTCTGATATACATATTTTTATACTTTGTATGCAAAAATTTGAATAAAAAAACATTTAAAAGGAAAAAATACCTTTTTTATAACAAAAATATTTTAAACAATCAAATTACTAAGCGATTTTTAAGAAATTGATATCGTTGTTAACGCAACCAAATATTATTTTTTTTTTAATGTGCGTATTTGTATACTTGGTATATACAAATTTGAGAAAAAACATTAAAAAAAAATACCTTCTTCGATAAAAAAATAAATACTTTAAAAAAGAAATTACTAACCGATTTTTATGAATTTAGTATCGTTGTAAAGGCGGTTAAACCCCCTTTCTTTCAGTGTACATACTTGTATGCTTCGTTTATAAAAATTTGTGAAAAAACACTTGAAAGCAAAAAATATCCCTTTTTATAAAGAAAAATATTTTAAACAAAAAAAATTACCAACCGATTAAAAAAAAATGGTGTCGGTGTAAAGGCTACCATAAAACTTATACTTTCGCTGACTTCCAAAACGTATCAATACAATGTTTGAATACGGTTATACTGCGATATTGAAACTGTTTGTATACGCAGAGTTGCCACACATTGCAACCATATACATTGCATATTTTATATATTCAATATAGCAATAAACAATTTTTCTAAATTTTTCAATTTTAAAATACCCATGGTAACCAATAACAAACCAAACATCAACTTTTTTTCCGATGCGCCGATTGCTCCAGCGAAGCGTTTTTATAACATTGTACATTGTCAATATTTTTTAGTTCGGCATTATGGAACATTATACTTTTGACATATGCAAAGCAATTGGCGTTTTGGAAGTCAGCCTTTCTTATACGCAAAAATTTCATTTTATATAAAAAAAAAATATAATTAAAAACTTTTTTTCCCTCTATATAAACTCCTGCCCCCTAGATGAAAGGCTGACTATGCCCTTCTATACAAAACCATTAAAGTATTTATACCATAGGTCTATCATACCAGTTATTAAAAAAAAAACCGATTTATTCCTTTATTTTAGCTAGCCGTATAAATTTTATTGATAAATAAAGGTTTTTATAGTGATGAATTTGGATTACAGTTAATTTCGGCGGTGCCCGCTAAGCTTAGCAACGTTTTCAAAATAGCAAATACAAGTGTAACAATACATCGCTTTAATGGTTATTTTATGCACCGATAGCAAACATATTTTGTTAAAAATAGGGCAAATATTTTCATTTATCTTTGCTATGCAAATGTATGGCTTTTAATATATTAATTTATGTATATGTTTTTATATAAATATTTAACGCCGCGTGAAATCATACAAAAATGCATTCATTTTTATTATACTTAAAATCAGCACAATATTTTTACCAAAAACAAGAATTCATTTTTAAAAATTCCCACCGCATTTTTACATATTTCACTGCAACATGCATATTTTATTTGGAAATACCATCACAACGCATAAAATACTTATTGTCTCACTCTGTTTCCGTTTCAGATGAAAAATCAACAACCGCCCGCTGAGCGCAAAAATCCAGAAAAAAAATTCCACCTCCACCCCTGCCATAGGGATTGAAAGGTGTTAGAAGGCCATGGTTAGCTGGCAGATACATTTTTACAGGAAATGAAAACTACGTCAATTGTTGTTTAATTGAAAGTGTGGTGTACGGAAGAGTAAGCAAACATTGAATTAAATTACACAACAAACAAACAGTTATGCAACAACAAGCAAAGGCGAATTGAAAAGCAAAAAATGCTAAAAAAAATATACTTTGCTGCAGTAAAAAACAACATCAACACCAAGAGCAAATAACAAACAGCAAACTCTACTTCCTGCAAAAATAACAATCGAAGTAACACAATAGAAAATACTCGATAAAAGGACTAGGAAAGCGAAAGGAAAAATTGAAAAAAAAAATCCATATACTTACATACATATGTATGTATGTATGTAACAATCTGCAACACAGCGCACGTAATGCTGACATTGGCAATACAAGCAGCGATAGCAACAACTATTTACAGTGACAACTGCAGTTTTACTAACAACCATGGTGTAAATAAACGCACGTCGGCGTGGCTGTGGAACGTGTCACTGGCTCGTATTTCAAATGTCGAACGAGGGTGTGTATGAGAATAAAGTAATAAGCGAAAAAGAGAAATTTTCGCAAACAATTTTTAATGCGAATGTTAACAAGCAAACACGCGTACAGTGAGCAAAAAAATTATTTTTTAGAGAGAGTTTAGAGCTTCTGCTTCTCGTAATTGTTTAATAGTGTTGCCGGAGAAAAATTTAATTTGGAGCTAAAATGGTCGAAAAGAAGCTAAAAAAAACTAAATAATATTAATATCAGCTAAAATGAAAAGCTACATATTTTTTTAACGTTGAGCATTTATTGACGTACGTTTGTTTTTACATTTTTGGCAATTTTAATAAAAACAACGAATTTTATAAGTTAAAGTGCTGAAAAAAAAAACTTTTAAAAACAAAATAAGGTGCATATATTTCGAGTTCGTCGCTAACACTTATATGTATGTACATATTTATATAAACTAGACAGGAACTTAAAATAGTTTACAAACTATTAAAATCTGCAGGCTAAGATATTTAAATCGACCATAAAAACTCGGGCTATGAATAATTTTTTCGCACAATTTTTCTCAAAAGTTCTACTTGCAGCTCCGCTTAAAGGTAAAATTGGTAAGGTAAAACAAAATCCGCGCTTTCAGAATAAGGATTTTCTTCTAATTAATTTTTGAATTCTTTTACCTAGATCCAGGAATTTATGATGGATACACTGCATTTCAAAATTTTCCATTTTATCAACGCTTAAGTTTTAGTTTTTCTTTTCTACCGTGTCCGCCTGAAAGAGAAAACACCGTGAGAGCTTATCGGCGCTGTGTGCTCCCGCGCACGTTGCAGAAACTAATTGACTTACTTGCCCATTTTCCATTTACTTGCATGCTAGTATTTGCATTAGGAATGCAATTTTTCTAAATACTAATCGAAATAGAATAAAATGAAGGTATAGAAGATAGCCTGAGATCACCAAAGCGAAATAAATTTTAGTCAACACTAAACTACAACAAAAATTTTCTGGAGCAAAAAAAAGTGCTGGGTAAATTTGAAAAGAGCTAAAACCCAATTTTCGGAGCTAAATATAAAAATAAAGAGCTAAATCTAGGTCCTAAAGCACCAAAATGGCAACACTATTACCAGCATTAGATCGAAAGCGAGCAAGGTATCTACTACTTTAACTCTGAGGTCTATTTGAAGCTCAGTATTAGCAAGCAGCTGAAATTTCAAAATTCTATTAAAAATGCTTTTATTTTAATATTTTAATTTAACTTTTATGTTATTATACGATGAAAAATGTTAAACCTTTAAAGGACTTTTTTTTGCACAAAAATGTGAGTCGCGCAAATAGTTTTACATCCGGCGATTTCATTGTGCTAAAATTGAAAAACCATTTATCTTCAATATTAGCCTACTGCTGTAGAGAAATTGAAAGAGATATACAAATAATCAAATGCAAAAGTTTAAATAGATTTAAAATGAATTTAAAATATACGCTATAACAATGGGCGATAAAGATAAACCAAGTACAAACAATGCAACGACAATGCCAACAAAAATTTCAGACACAAATGCAAACACAAATAAATTAGTTTATTATTTGCACAGCTTGACCACAAACGCACCTATGATAGCTGAATTGTTGCAAAAAAACGTAGGATAAAATGTGTAAGCGCCAAAGGAAAGAACATCGCAAAAACGAAAAAAGTTAAAAGTTAAAAGTATGGGGTGGCTGGGTGCGAAATCGAATGAATTGAAGCGTTAAAATATACAAATAAATAAATGACTGTTTGTCTACATTTAAGGGAATAATCAACAGGCACGCCAACATCAACGCCAACAACGACTACATTAACAAAAAAATAAATAAAAAATAAAATAAAGTAAAAATTGCACAACACGCCGCGATTGCCAACGCAAAAAGATAATGATTAAATTAAAAATGAACGCCGCGGTTAACAACGCCGCCAATAGCAAGCAAAACAATAAAAGTGTAAAACATAAAAAGTGTAAAAACAATAATAGAAATAGCTTAAACAACAACAGCAACAACGAGTGTTACAGCTGCAGCATAGCAGATAGCAATAGTGCGCTATTGTGTGTAGCGACAGTAGAACAACGAGTGCAAAACAGCGAACAAATATGGTTAAATACCTTACAGCAACAAAAACAGCAAACCGATACAACCAACCACAGCGACAGCAAGGATGCGCACCACCACCAACAATACTACGACCACCATCACCACCGCCTCCAACACTCACAGCAACAGCAACAGCAGCAGCAGTATTTACATGACCACCGGCAGCAGCAGCAGCAGCAGCAGCAATGTTTGACAACAGTGCGTTATGCGGAGCATGTGCAACAACAAAGCGAACAGCATAAGCAGCCATTTCCGATACACGCGCCTGAACATCGGCAGCAACAATTTAATCAACAACAACCACAATCTGAAGGCCGCCAGCAGCAGCAGCAACAACAACAACATCCACAACGACAACGACCACGTCGATGGCCATCACATTGTTATGCGGATACAATACGCTGTGAAACCATCAACAATGAGAGTAGCAGTAGTAACAGCGACATCGACAGCGACAGCGACCATACCACCGACAGGAGTAAATTTAATCCAATGCAAGCATCGCTGCACTCATTCACTACTTCATCATCGACCACATCCACGTCATCCACCACAACGTCGTCTTCGTATGTTTCGTCGTCAACGCGCGGTTGCACGTCGTCATCAACAGTGACGGCAGCAGCAGTGAATGCGTCGGCGAGTGCGGTGGGAAATTTGCGTGGCTTATATACATTTACAACTGCCACAACTACCTCGCAAGCTGCAACTCCTACACTATATTTGTGGTGGCTATTTGGTGTGTGTTTAATACTCTTCACAAATGGTGGACGTGACTGGCGGTCAACGGCATTGACGCGTACAACATTTATGGTGGCAGCCTCGTATTTGGAACCGGACGAACTGATACACGAACTGGATAGACCAGGTGAGTGATCATAACACCAAAACGTATACACATATACTTGAGTTGCTATGTTAATGATTTAAGTGTGATTAAGAGTGTCATCTACATATATACAACGTATTATGCATACATAGGCAGAAGATAACTTAGATAGGCCTTCTTAAGTGAAGCCACTCTAAGAAGGGTTGAAAAAAGTACTTCCGTGCATGCCTTCCAGAAGGGGGATTATCCATTTACAATTTACGCAAATGCATAGATTTATATTATTTAGCATTTCAAATGAATTTCAATAAAGCATTTAAGTTGCAATAAAACATATTTGATATATTTAAAACTTAAGCAAATACTTCAGAGATGTACCTATGATTTTTATAAATTTAAAGAAGCCACTTCTGGAAGGCATTCTATTGGTAGCGAAAGAAGGAGCCCTTCAATTTGTGCTACTCCATACAAAAAAGAAAGGAGAAAAGGAAGTGGTGTGGAAGGCCTATTGACTCTCAGAAAGTCCTTTCGGAAGGGCTTTTAACATCTGAAATTATCTAGTGAGTATGAATATGCTAACACAAATTTTGAGAGCGTTCGTTTGGATATTCTCCCAAGAACACTATTCGAAAGGTATTCTTTTGTAAATGAGTAGAGCTTTTATGTTTTAATGATTGCTTGAAAATTATGCCCAAATTCGTCGTTTAAAAATTTCCGTATTTGTGTATAGTTGTTGTTGCAACTTGTTCAATTTGAGTTGTTTTCCAATTTGTTTTACTTGTTTTTGAAATTAAACTTTGTAATAAAGATAAATATGGTGATGATAAAGTAATGGATAAAAAAGTGAAGGCGAAATTTGAAGATAAAGACGAAAATAAAGAGAGAGTGAGAATTACATAGGACTTAAGGGAATTTTTAAATTTTTTTTGTAAGAATCGAACAAATTCAGTCACAACAAAACTCAGTTATCACGTTATCGAAATTTAACGAGCCATCAAAATTTGTCGTCATCGAAATTTTTCGAGTTAAGCATGTTCATCGAATTATTCAAATTGATCAATGTTTATTTTGTTGTCGAAATTTATAGATAGATACACAGAAACTTCTCAAATAGCACACTGGTTGTATAACTTGGTGTAGATTTGTGAATTTTGGTAAAATTAATCAGATTTATACCAAAGTTCGTAAAATTACACCAAGTTGTACACCAGGGTGCTACTTGAGCTAACGGTCGAAATTTACCGAAAGTCATCGAGTTTTACTAAATTATTTATCAGATTATCGTTATTTGGAAAGTTAATTGAATTTATGAAGTTATCGATTTTTACTGAATTATCATTATTTTTGGAAATAACGAAATTTAACGACATATCGTAATGTATCAAGTTTAAACTTATCGAGCTATCGACCATTATGGATTTATCGAAATTTGCCATTTTATCGAATCGAAGCTTTTGGAATTTTGATAGTATTAAGTATATCAAGCTTTCTTTTTTATCGGTATAGGAAATTCTGTCGCGTTCTGTTAAAATATCAGAGTATAACGACTCATCGAAATTTTTCCATGGATATCGAATTTTATGGAGGTATCAAAATTAATCGAGTTATCGAAATTAATAAGCGATTTTCTGGTGAGTAATTGTGTGCCTTATACACAAATTAAACGACGCGCTAAGTTCTGAAAAATCTACATTTTGATTTAGTTTTTTTTTTTTTTAATACCGTTATATTGGAAGTGGGCGTGGTTACCATCACCTACATATCTTGGTTAACCAAGAAAATTCCGTTGATATATCTCTATTTTTACGCGAGTTATCGGATAGTATATCGAACATGGCTTAGTCGACTTCCCACTTCATTCTGAGCATTTTGACTACACGTCTAGCCCCTCTAAAATGGAGAGAAATGTTTTTTTTTTTTACGCAAAATTATTAAATAACAAATCGATGATTCTCTATATCTTGGTGGTATTACCGACTTCCAGTTTCGACCGGTTTCCACCGGAAGTGGGTTAAACAGATCAGAAGCCATGTTTTGTGATTAGACACACAGGGTTTTACTACAGATTCGGACAGTGAGGATAAAAATTCGTAAGCAAATTTTTTTTTTATTCCTTTATTTTTGTGAATGTCTTTGTTTTGTGCGTAGAGCAAAATAAAGAGATGCCCCATGATAACACGAATATGCTCTCAATCCTGGAATTATTGGTCATACACGCGGCTTCACGATTAACAATTAGTAATTTTCATTCAGATTTTCAACTTGTATGCAAATCACTGCACTTTATGCCATTTCTAACGCATCCGAAAATCGATGCAATTCAATAATAACATATCCTATCTAAATACCAAGTCTTAATATTTCCATTGCTGTTATGCCATTCTAGAAATCTCTCCCTTTTAATTCGATCTCTTTGGGAATCTATTCATTATATTGCAAACTGATTCTGTCTATGTATGACACTTGTGGTCAGCAGGTAAATTTAAGTAATATTTTGACTAGTTTTGGCTATTTTCCTTTTGTTTACACAAAACAATCACACATTTCAAACTTCCTACAAGAGTTTAGAAAAATCAACAAACTTTAACGATTACACCCACAAAGTTTGAACTTCGTATGCAGAATTTTTGGAAAAATTTTAGGTATTTAAAGTGCAAGACGCTAGAAAATGGCGTTGATTTTTAATGATTTTTTTCAAGTAAAACTTCTTTAGCGGCGGTTGGTTGGTTGGGAGTAAATTGGCAAATTCAACGGAAATTCCATACGGAAATGATGCAACGGAAATGCCGGAAAATTTACGGAAATTGGTGGTAATAGCCCAGTTTCACGTTTGCACCGATGTATTTATTGGTAAAGAAATGAACACACGAAAGGTTGTATTAAAAAATAGAACTCAGATTGGTTTATTTTCTTAATATAAATTAAAATGTACAAAACTATTTTCAGGTTACCTTATATATGTATGTATTTGGATGAGGCGATAAAAATTGGTGGCACTATGACGTCTTCTCAAATGAAGGTTCGGAAAACAAGTAAGATCCGTTGTTTTCTTTTTGGTAACGTTAGCCTATCGAACGGCTCTCTAAGCGAGGGACATTTTAACATAGCTAGCGTTCGACAATAGAAAATAGTTAACTGCTCTCTTGTACACAAACGTTAAATATTAGGGTGGCTCTTAAATTGCGTATTTAATACGCTGGCCTAAACACAGTTTGTATCGAAGAAAATGCACAACATACTCAGCCAAAAAAATTATTAAAAATCAACGCGCATAGAGAACTGTCAAATTGTACCTACTAAGTTCCCCTCTTATGTGGCAATCTTTAGGAAGCATCTCTCAATACCATTTATTTTCTTTGGGCAATACTGAAAATTACATATCAGTATGCATCTGGCTGCAAAATAATCTTTCCAATCATTTTTCTAGCTCAAAACGCACAGTGTGTCCACTTGTCTTTTAAGAAATTTGCACATAAACGGCGTTCAGTTTTTTCATTATTTTCAATACATAGAGAGTTTAGTAAACTAAAAGCATAACCAACCAGTACTTTCTGGCAGCGAAGCATGAGAACTTGTAGATTTTAATTCAATTAGGTATGCAGGTATGAAAGTTTGCTGAAATCGTTTTCCATAATTTTCTACACTTCAAAGACTTTTGTCTAAAGTAAAATCTGTGCAATATTTATGGCTTATAAATGCATATAAATTAATATGTATGTATCTTCGCTACTCGTACTTATGTGCATAAATTCATATACATATACGCAACACTACCTACATTTGTATGTACATACGAGGACTTAATATTAAGAGTAAGCGAAACATATACAGTATGCACACAAACTGAACGCTTATTTGCCTCAGGAGACTGGCTTTAATGAGAAAGCTGGATTACCTCATAAATAAGCAATATTATAAAATTTATATTTCCATGTATTCATACACCTACAGAGGTATATATAGCAAGTGGAAAATTCTAATATATATATACATACATATGTATCTACATGTGTATATGGGGCGTTCCATACCAAAACGGACGGGGTTCACACTTCATGTGTTTGATTGGTTGCACATTTATAGGGTTGATGCATAAACATAAGTAAATAATAAATAAATATGAAATTTGAGCTTGATTAATACATTTTTAAAAACTTTACAAAAACAAAAACCAAACGATTTAATATTTTTCCGAATATCTCTAGAACGGGGCAAGGAAAAAATTTGAAAAAAAAATCTCACATACACATATCAAAATTCTCTATTTATATAAATATTTTAAAATTTTTTTTCTTGAAAAATTTTTCTAATTCAAATTTTTTGATAAAAGAAATATAAAAAAATCCCAGTAGTGGCTCTGAAATATTTAAGTATAGTATTATGGGGTGCACTCTACAATAATCTGAGTTATGCATTTTTTTACACCGAAGTTAAGTAAAATGAGTACATTATAAATTTATAAATCCTTAAAATTTATGTTAGAATTTTTTTTAGTATGCAGTCTTGTAGTCCATTAAATTGTGGTATAATAAGTGCAAGTTTTAAGCGATTGCAAAATATTAGAATTCAGTGCATACTCAAAAATCTCTAAAAATAAAAAAATAAAAAAATTTGTAAATTTGTAATGTATTCATTGTACTCAATTTCGGTGTAAAAAAAATTCATAACTCAAACCATAATTATGGTAGAGTGCACCCCATAATACTATACTTAAATATTGCGCAGTTCTTAGAGCTACCATTGTAATTTTTTTTTTTTTGAAATGGCATATTTACAAAAACTCAAATTTCATATTTATTTATTTTTTAATTGTTTGCATCAACCCTAACAATTTGAAACAGATCAAACACATGAATTGTGAACCTCGTCCGTTTTGGTATGGAATGCCCCATACATACATATATCTACGCTTATCAACATAAAATTACATTAGCCGAATATAAATTTCTTAATTTGTGCGTTTAAATGGTCATGTGCTTACTAAGTACACATCAGAGATTAATTTAAAGTTTAAATATATAATAACGCAGCTTCAAGGG